CAGCACCTTTCCGAGAAATGATGGCTTGTGCCGAGCCGCGGTGGAGAGTGCCAAGCCGGCATTTCTTCGCCAAAAAGGCAGTGCCAGCCCTGCATTCACATGTAGAAGAGATGGTGGGCCAGTCTTTGAGCATGTCGGTCTCTGCCAAAGTGCACGGCAGCGCCGACGTGTGGAGCTGTAACTACGGTCAGGGACAGTACATGTCATTTACGGCCCACTGGGTGAACGTGGTGCCGGCACAGCCGCACCAGCAACTTGGACAGGTCACGCCACTTTTGCCTCCACGTTTGCACGTCCTTGGTCCAGCAAAGATGTCCGCCTCTACCACCTCTTCTTCCGCCGTGTCCTCAGCCGCCACCCCCGTGCCAAGTCCCATTACCCGACCGGCATATCACATGTGCAGGGTGCAACGGTGTCACTCTGTGCTGCACCTGGTATGCCTTGGCGAACGTAGTCACACACAGGGGAGGAACTTCTGAGTGTAATGAACAGAGAAATCGACAGATGGCTGTCTCCGCGCAAACTGAAACTGAAAATCGGAAACCATGTTGACCGACAACGGAAAGAAACATGGTGTCTGCTCTGCGTCAAGGAGGTTGTGCCATGCGCCATGCATGGCTCACGTGTTCAATCTGGTTGTCAAGCGGTTCCTAAAATCCACCATCCCACTGCAAGACATCCTTAAAATGTCACGTAAACTTTGCATGCATTTCAGCCATTCCTACACCGCAAAGCACACCCTCCTTGAGCTGCAGCGGCAGAACAGAAATTCCACAGCATCGCCTGATCTGCGACATTGCAACAAGGTGGAATTCAACCCTACATATGTTTAGACCGCCTTTACGAACAGCGAAAGGCCATCACCGATTTCCTGATGTTACAAGCGGATAAAGGTACTCCCCTGTGTAACTTAGATGTCAGCCATTGGCAGCTCATGCGTGACACCTGCCGCTTGCTCAGGCCCTTTGAGGAGGCCACGCTATTCGTGAGTCGGCAGGACTATGGGATGAACGACGTCATTCCTCTGTTGCACGTCCTGCAACAAATGCTGTTAACAATGGCTGGTCAGGGTGCGGTAGACGTGGCGCACAGATCTCAATGCCACATGACCCCTGTGGGGGCAGGACAGGAAGAAGAGGAGGAGGTAGAGGGAGGACATTGGTGCTCAGGAATTATTAAGAGTGAAATGGGTGGTTTTTCCACTCAGCGGACAGGAGTGGAGGAGCAGGAGCATCTGGTAGAGGAGGAGGAGACAGAGGACCCAGACGCACCGTGGCAGTATGCTGTGGAGATGGAGGCAGGCAAGAGTCCCTCGCATTCCTTGGCACAAATGGCCCATAGCATGCTCGGTTGCTTGCGTAGCGACAGCCGAATAATAACCATCAGACAGAGGGATGACTTTTGGCTGTCCACCTTGTTGGACCCTCGCTACCGTTCAAAAATGGTGGCCTTTTTCACACCTGCTGAGAGGGAGGCCAAAATAACGTACTATAAAAACCACCTATGTAGTCAGTTGGTCTCTGCCTTTCTGCGCCAACGTCCATCCTCAGACACTGTGGGCCCTGTGCGCTCTCGCGTTCCGCTGCCATGGCAGCAGGGGAGGGGTGGGGTGGTAGGAGCAGTGGCAGCTCCACCAGCAGCGGCTGCCTCAGTCTGCAGTCGATGATGAGTAGCTTTCTTCACCAGCGCAGTGAGGAAACTACTAACCAGCCGCAGCAGCAGCAGCATCAGGTGGACCTGGAGCAGGAGCTCAAACAACAGGCTTGGGCCTACTTGGACAGCAACCTGCCAACCGAGGTAGACAATCCCCTTGACTACTGGGCAACGAAACTTGACCTTTGGCCCCAACTAGCTGAATTTGCCCTTGAAAGGCTGTCATGCCCAGCCAGTAGCGTGGCATCGGAGCGCGTGTTTAGTGCGGCAGGAGGTATTGTAACTCCGCGGAGGACACGACTGTCCACCCAAAGTGTGGAGAGACTCACATTTGTGAAAATGAATCAGGCGTGGATTAGTCTGGATTTCAAACCACCAGTTCCTGACACAACTGACTAAATCCGCCATGAATCATGCCCCAAACATGTTATTATTTTTAACATAGGCCTCTGTATGGCCTTCAATTTAAGCTGCTTACGCTTCGCCACTCTGCCATGGGCCCCTGTACCGCCGCCTCCTGCTGCCAGGGTTGGCCTCATTGCTGCTTTCTACCGCAGTCTCCTCTTGCTGCTGCCAGGTCCAGAGTGTGTCATGGGTCCCTGTACGGCCTCCCATTGCTGCTGACTTCATCGCCAGACTCTGTCATGTGCCACTTTCAGGTCTCCTTACACTGTTGGTGGGTTCCATTTTGTGATAGGGTGCTGTATGGCCTTCCATTGCTGCTGCCTCCACCGCCACCTGCGCCATGTGCCTCTGTCGTCTGCTCACGGCTTCCGCTTTTTAACCGAGGCCTGTGTTTGGCTTCCGAATACTTCTGCATCCACCGCCACCCTGCGCCATGTGTCTCTCTGTCGTCTGCTCACGCTGCTGACGGCTTCCGCTTTTTAACCGAGGCCTGTGTATGGCTTCAGAATAATGCTGCCTACACCGCCCACCCTGCGCCATGTGCCTCTGTCGTCTGCTCACGCTGCTGCCAGGTCCATACTGATTCATGGCCCCCTGTACCGGCTCCTCATGAACGTGGTTCAGCGGGTTTGCATCACTTAACGGCAAATCGTTGACAAACGCTGGGACGTTCAGTGTTGTGCGCATTTAAGCCAGACACCAAAGGGCAGCACAGACCTGTTATTACTCGCTCAAGCATGGCTGAACAAAACCAGTCTCTACCACAAATTGGACCCAGACCTGCCCAGGGTCTCGTAAGTAGATTGCACGGAGGAGTAGAGTTCGTTATTGGAATTAACTGTGAGGGACTTTTAAACCTAGGCCTGTGTATGGCCTTCAATTGAAGCTGCTTCTGCTCCGCCACTCTGCCATTGGACTCTTGATAGTCGTCTCCCCACGCTGCTGCTGGGGGGACTTTTTAAACATAGGCCTCTGTATGGCCTTCAATTGAAGCTGCTTCTGCTCCGCCACTCTGCCATTGGACTCTTGATAGTCGACGACTATCAAGAGTCCAATGGCAGAGTGGCGGAGCAGAAGCAGCTTCAATTGAAGGCCATACACAGGCCTAGGTTTAAAAGTCCCTCACAGTTAATTCCAATAACGAGCTCTACTCCTCCGTGCAATCTACTTACGAGACCCTAGGCAGGTCTGGGTCCAATTTGTGGTAGAGACTGGTTTTGTTCAGCCATGCTTGAGCGAGTAATAACAGGTCTGTGCTGCCCTTTGGTGTCTGGCTTAATGCGCACAACACTGAACGTCCCAGCATTTGTCAACGATTTGCCGTTAAGTGATGCAAACCCGCTGAACCACGTTCATGAGGAGCCGGTACAGGGGGCCATGAATCAGTATGGACCTGGCAGCAGCGTGAGCAGACGACAGAGGCACATGGCGCAGGGTGGCGGTGGAGGCAGCAGTATTCAGAAGCCATACGCAGGCCTAGGTTAAAAAGCGGAAGCCGTCAGCAGCGTGAGCAGACGACAGAGGCACATGGCGCAGGGTGGCGGTGGATGCAGCAGTATTCGGAAGCCAAACACAGGCCTCGGTTAAAAAGCGGAAGCCGTCAGCAGCATGAGCAGACGACAGAGGCACATGGAGCAGGGTGGCGGTGGAGGCAGCAGCAATGGAAGGCCATACAGCACCCTATCACAAAATGGAACCCACCAACAATGTAAGGAGACCTGAAAGTGGCACATGGCAGAGTCTGGCGATGAAGTCCGCAGCAATGGGAGGCCGTACAGGGACCCATGACACACTCTGGACCTGGCAGCAGCAAGAGGAGGCGGTACAGGGGCCCATGGCAGAGTGGCGAAGCGTAAGCAGCTTAAATTGAAGGCCATACAGAGGCCTATGTTAAAAAGTCCCCCCAGCAGCAGCGTGGGGAGACGACTATTAGCCTCCTCATGCTGCTGCCAGGTCCAGAGTGTGTCATGGGTCCCTGTACGGCCTCCCATTGCTGCTGTCTCCATCGCCACACTCTGCCATGTGCCACTTTCAGGTCTCCTCACACTGCTGGTGGGTTCCATTTTGTCATAGGGTGCTGTATGGCTTCCCATTGCTGCTGCCCTCCACCACCACACTGTGGCTCCACACTCTGATTTTGGCCCCGTGACTGCCCAAATGAGTGAAGTGTGCGGTGATTCTAAGATCGACGGCACTCATCTGCATGTCATACTGACTGACAGTATTATTTCTCTTCCCCAGCAGACTCCAAGGGCATTTAAATTAAAGGTACAGTGTTCTGCACTAGTATAAAGGCTCTCTGAAGCCTAGAAACACCCTTTTTATAAGTTAAATTCGCAGCAAATATATTCGCCTCAAATCAAATTTTTTCCGCGAATTCGGCGAATCAGCCGAATCAAATTTTTGAATACTTCGCTCATCTCTAGTAACAATCTGTATATCATAGTAATATTACTACTTTTTATGTTATACTGGCTACGTTATATTTTGTTGTAATTGATTAACAGCCACTTTCTTTTTCTGTGTAAATAAATTAGATCTTTATTTGTGCACAGTTGTTATCCTTTAATATTAACACCATTGGCTAAATTCAGGTATAGACAAAAGGTTATAATCACTTATTGCATTTGTAATCTGTATAGAACCAAGTGAATAAGTGGGGTAAGGAAAACCGCCAAAACAGAACACACTCACCGAACGAATCTCAGGCTTTGTAGAAAATAGACACCACGTATACATCAGGGATGATACGCTTCACACCTCAATATACAGGAAACCCACCGACAGATGCAACTACCTCCACAGTTCCAGCTTCCACCCCCAACACACGAAACGTGCCATCATACACAGTCAGGCCATTAGATACTGTAACAGAAGCGTAGGCAGGACAGAACACACAAAGAAGATGGGGAACACACAAAGCTTTATTGAACTCTGAAAGACACTCAATCAGAACAGTTCATGGCACTCCCGCGACATGCGGCTCGTAGGGACACCCACAGTAAGTGGGCTCACGGGACTCAACGGGACTCCAGCTGTGGAGTCTGGCCTAGCACAGCTCCCACCCAGCTTTCTAGGGACATCGGGGTAACGGGGACTCAACAGGACTCCAGCTGTGGAGTCTGGCCTAGCACAGCTCCCACCCAGCTTCCCAGGGACATCAGTGTCACTGGGACAGTTCAGGACACGGGTAGTCTGTGCGCACAACAGCGCCAGCTCAGGACATGGGTGGTCGGTGCACACAACGGGGACAGTTCAGAACATGGGTGGTCAGTGCACACGGCGGTGCAGTTCAGAACATGGGTGGTCGGTGCACACAGCATGGACAGTTCAGAACACGGGTGGTCGGTGCACACAGCGGGGACAGTTCAGAACACGGGGGGGGGGGGGGGTCGGTGCACACACAGCGGGGACAGTTCAGAACACAGGGTTTGGTGCACACAGTGGGGACAGTTCAGGACACTCACGGTAAGCAGCTTGCAGACCCTCAGTGGCAGGAGGCTCCAGACAGGGACGACCAGTGGTCAGCATTTCAGGGACAACCAGCTATCAGCAGAAGCTCCCCGGGCACTCAGCAGCGGACGGCTTCCAGGGACACGCAGCCATGGACAGTGTGCAGGGTCCCTCAGCAGCAGCTCCCCGGGCACTCAGCAGCAGACAGGCTCCAGACACGCAGACATGGACAGTGTGCAGGGTCCCTCAGTGGCAGCTCCCAGGGCACTCAGCAGCAGACAGCTTCCAGGGACATGCAGCCATGGACAACATGCAGGGTCCCCATCAGCAGCAGCTCTCAGGGCACTCAGCAGTGGACAGGGTTCAAAGGTGCTCAGTAGACAGGCTTGCAGGGTCTCAGCTGTGGGGTCTGACCTTTGAGGAGAAGGCTCATGCAGAGCTGTGGAGACTCCCAACCCTGGGGTATTGCAGAGGGCTACAGTCCTGACCTTTTGGGGATCTACAGAGTGCGCAGCGGGGATGGCTGGGGAGGCTCAGTCCCCCTCATCCGAGCCTCCCAGCGTCTTTCCGGGAGCAAGATGATTCCAGCAGCATGGACAGGATCAAAGAGGAGGGCTGCTTCCTGTGCAAGTCTATTTAAAAAAACCATGTGGGACGCTGCCCATGCAGGTTGCCTCGGCAACGGACGGCCCACCACCATTCATGGAAGCTACATGGACATCCGAATGTGCAAGGGGGGAGGGAGGGGTAGAGGGATATGGCGGGGGATGGGAGAGACACTGGCACTCCATGACAGATACCACCAAATATGTTCTGACCCAATAGACAGAGATACACATCTCGGACACTAGCAGACTCCTTCCATAAGAAAGGTTACAAGGACAAAACTATCAACACCGGCATAAACACAGCCTTGAGAACCCAAAGAGAAAACCTACTTCAGTACAAAGAGAAAAAAAACAAACAACCTTGTACCTCTAGTAACCACATACAACCCAGCACTAGAAGGAAGAAGAAACATAATCAAAGATTTACAACCCATAATAACAGAGGATGGAACTCTGAAAGAAATATTCCAGCAACCCCCAATACTGGCTTTCAGACAACCCCCCCCCAATAGTGGCTTTCAGACAAACCCCCCAACCTCAGAAATAAACTAATCAGTAGGAAACTTCCTTCTGATTATGAGGTCACAAATAATGGAAGCAAACCCTGCAATAAGAAACGCTGCAAACTGTGCAACCAAATCAATCCATCAAAAAAGTGTCAGACACTCAAAAGGGATCTTCAGTATCTCCGGATCATACAGCTGCACCTTCCAGTCATGTTGAGTACCTTATCCAGTGCAGAAAATGCAGCAAAGGATCTTATGTTGGTGAAACAGGACAGAAGTTGCAAACAAGGATGAATTTGCACAGACATACCATTCAAGGACCATAAAGAAGATGACCTTCTGCACACCTTTGGGACACTTTCACCCCGCTAACCAGACCACACAATGGGAGACCTCAATATTTTAGTTTCTTAAAGGAAATTTAATTCAGGAAAGAAAAACTTTTGAACTAAGAATGATAATATCTATTTGACACAAGAGATAACGGCCTGAATTTGGACATGGGATTCCTCAATCATTATCCAACAGTTTTATGACTATCAGCTCATAACTTAACTCCCTCTGTGTGAGTGCCCACACCCCCCCCCCCCTTCCTCTGCTTTTGCTGTATCTTATCTTGTAGCCTTTTTTGTTTTCTCATCTCTTCTAACATTCTGCTAAACTTTGTGATTTGTATAGTACTACTCCTGGACCTTGAAGAAGGGGACACTCCCGAAAGCTTGCTTGTCCTCAATCATTGTATGTTAGTGACAATAAAAAAAGTATCACGGACGAGGACTCAATTGTTTCTTGAATAACTGCTTAATGGTAAGA